TAGTGTGCCTCAAATATCCATACTACACCTCGAGTACCTGGCTCATGATGTATAGCAGCTACTATCGTCCTCGTAGCTGTAGCAGCTCCAGCAAGATGTCCTGTGCAAGGGAGAATACTTACACTGGCTTCCGGATCGTCAAAAAGCAGTGAATAATAAATTCAGTTTGTTAAACTAAGTTAAGTCATTGGTAAAACACATAAGGGGAAATGCTCTTAATAAAAAATGTTATCATACATTGTACTCACTATCTGTCTTCTCATTGGCTAAGAGCCTACAGCTAATTTTGGAAATAAGCGCAAGCTACAGATTTGTGAGTTATCTGCTAGCGGATGACTGACTAACCTGTAGGTTGCGCGCGCAATGCGTGATATCCAATAACAGTATCAATTCAGGTTCCTTGCGACGGTGTATTTGTCGTTATTTTCTTCAAAACAATGTTTAATATAACAATTTTTAGATTCGGTTTTTGTGATATCCTAAATAATCAAACTCTAGGTAAGTGTTATCAGCCTCGTCCTTCGGCTCGGCTGATCACACTTACCTCGACCCTGATATCACAAAAACCTTATCCAAGAATTGTTTATAATCTAACGTTGTAATAAAAAAAAACTTGGAGGAATAAGAAGATGGGATGTTTTTCTTCTGAACCAACATTATAACCCTCCTATAAAGACCGAGTCCCGATGCTTGAGGTAAAAAAACTTAAACTAAATAAGGAAGGAAATAAACATTAGAACCTGATAAAAGAGGCTCGGACCGCCATAAATTAAGAGAAATATTATAGTCATTGCTTTAATCTAATAAAGCGTCTCATCGTGAGGTCAATATAAGTCATTAGGCAGGGATGCCACAGGGTCCGAAATGAGAGCCAAATATTGGATTTTTGGGGGGGCGGGAAGATCCGGGAGAATTTTACAGCCAGGGAGTCCACTGAAAATGTTAACACATCAACGAAAAAGGCTCCCCTTTTAAAAAGAATAATTATAGGAGGTCTGTTGATCTGATCCAAGAGAAAATAATAGCAGATTAGTTCATAAACGAATCGCAATTAAAGATTCTGTTTCAGCCTCTCCTCTAATGAAGAGAAAACAGGAACCTTGTCCATCTATTTCACCTGGTTTTGCCCATTTAGTCAGCACACCTTGGAGAACTCTGGCCACGTAGAGGAACTGTTTCCCAAAGTTCAGCTCCTTGGGCCACGCCTTTAGATAGCCAACTTATTTACCTCCTGCCAGGTAGCCTATTGGAAACCTTGTATTTTCTGTTTCAAATATTTTGGTGTTATTTGGGCTCACTAGCGGCTTCCCATTATTAATACTTTTTTGGGTAAATGATGAGGGGAAGCAAAGTTTGATTCAGCATACAAAAATATAAATGGATTTCGTGCAATACGATTTTCCTTGGGAAAAGGAAAAATAAATTCTTAATAAAATTCAACGAGTTATACACTCGTAGTTGTCACTTTCTCACAAGTATCGAAGCAAACTCTTGAAAAACTGAATTTATCAGAGAGCTAATAAACTTATCGAGAACTGTAAATTAAAAAAACGCTGAGTTCGTCACGCAATTACATATAACTCTGTCTTCATGTTGCTCTTCGAAGACTTTAACCTTCATCTTCTGAAGACGTGGCGAAGAATCTCGCAATTTTTCGCTTAGATATCACAGATTTATGCGTTGGTGATATGACACCGTGAATTGTTTGGTCAGCGGGATGATATTCTCGCAAACTGTGCCATTGCGCAATAGGTTTCTTTGACGTCATAGCCTCTTTCCAGTGTTGTAGTTCTAGTCCCTCCGCATTTGTCCCCAGGACAACACGGCCTATGACTTGGTCAGGTGAACTTTCCATCTCCTGTTTCACAAAAACTTGCAAACGGATATCCTCTAAATTAGCGTCAGCAACATCAAAAGCAAGCGCTTCATTGTAAACTGGAAACAGACTCCCTGTTCTTAAAGTCGTTGGCTTTCGTTTTCGCTGCCTTTTCTTGACGTTGATCATGACAATTTCTACGTAGATAGCTGAAATGAAGCAAATAAAGCGATTTGTCAAAATTCTGTCTTATATCAGACAAATATTGTCGAGGCTAACTGACATACTGACAAATTTTTGACGTCAAATAATATTGAAACGATGTTTTATGCCGATACCCTAAAAGTTAGTTCGGGAGCTCTCATTGAAGTCACGCTATTGTTCCGCTACAGTACCACAGACAGAGAAGCCACTCGAGTGTTGGCATTATTTGGCCGCTTGTCTGAGTGGCAGTTTAATTGATTATAAAACAGACGCATTAGTTCACAACAATAGTACTAAATAATTTATGTTATTTTCAGCAAAGGTGGGGGAAGAAATTCGCCCAATGAATGAACTAAGTGTTAGACGCATAGAAGATCTCCCGACTCGTAGCAAAGTGGGATGGGGGGGAGAGGAAAAAATTTTTTTTCCGCAGAAATGTAATGTACGCGGGAATGCATGCTCCTTTATGCGAACACTCCTTTTTGGCGATAAAAATGACATTATGCCCTAAGATAATGTTTGGTTTTGTGAAAGTGAACAACAAGCATGACATATTTCCTCTAGTGACGCTAGACCTCCCTCATGAAAAAGTCTGAAAGGCGCTAATGGTTAAATTTATAGCTCCCACCCATCATATTGAATACAATAAGGATGAGAAGATATACTTGACTTTCAAGTGTCGAAACAGTTTTTAAACTGGTAAAGAAGCCATATCTGCGCGCACGTAGACGTTAAAAGTTTACGCGTTTTACACCCGCCCTTACTTGGTGAAATTGCTTCACTTTACTCATTTTCTTAGCAGTCGACACACAATGAGCAAAGACAATTGTAAGCATCAACTTTTGATGGCAGTTAAGTATGCAAAGAAGATCATTGCAATCATCAAAGACACAACTTATGCAGTTGCGAAAAGAAACCCTGACAAAATTTCAAGCTTCACGAGATTCGAACCCTAACCCGCTCTGCGATACCGGTGCAGCACTCTTACCCTAACCGCCAGTTGGGCTAACAGGAAAACTGAGAGCTGCTCATTAAACTGGTTCGTAAGACAATGTATACCCAGGAAAAATATGGATGACCTGAGTGATGAATATATGAATTTCATATCTTTATCACTTTTAAACTATCTTACGTACTTTTCTAACTCCCTAACTTCTATATTTAAAACCCCCGTACACACCTCTTGCTCATATAAGGCACCAAACTAATAGAGCTGGATCAAATGCGGTAGATCATTTTTAAAAAAATCGTAACGTGCGAAATTGCTCTGACCTGGGAAGCCTTCCTTGACAGGCCTCAAGTGCTGTGCTTTAAATATAACGATCGTCAGTCGTCTGGTCAGCGGCATGAACATGAGTGAGAACAACACCTGACCAAATCCAAGGTCACGTGGCTGGTCTTTTACCTGGAGAAGAGCATTTTTTCCAAATTAAAACAACAACGCGTACCAGGAAAAGTGAAAAAAATATATATTTAAATCTTTGTATATCAAAATGTCGGCAATAAATGTGATAGCTGCTAAATTTTCTTATCGCCTTCTTGTGTATGTAGGTTTATTGCAATAGTTAATTAGTGGATTCTTGTTTTGTTACGGATGCACATTCGGGGAATAAAATTCTGACCATGGAAAACGAATTGATCCTTTAAAACTAATGACTGTACAGTACACATTAGCTCGTGAAGGCTCTGAGACAGAGGGAACGTCGCAAAGCAAGGGTCTATCACCCGGAGCGAGCAACGTCCATGCGGTCGACTCACGGCGTTTTCACTGACCAGTTCATTTTTAGAGCGGTTTTGGCGCGAATTTTGAATATCTTTTAAATATAACAAACCAGTCAGCAAAACCTACAGACCTAAAAATGATATTTTGTGCGTTTTAATAACGTTTAGTTTTCCTTTTTGATGTTTATATGATTCGAATCCTTGGTTTAATTTTTATTTACTTTTTTGTTTACAAATCATTTCATTTTACCCAAAAACAAAAGAAAATAAAATTTGTCCATAAAATGGTGAGATTCTTTTTGGCGGGAAAAATTGCCCTATAATGTGTCTAAAAGTAAACTGCGTGGCCTGTAAAAACGCCGTGACATAGGCCTAGTACGAGAGTTGTTCCCTCCGGGTTATGGGCTCCTGCGCGAAGTTAATAATTTCAAGCGAAAAAGATTACGCAACAGGACGGCAGAAAGAAGACGGCAGCAAAACACTTGTGTGTGACAAACGTGACAGGCCTATTACCTGCGTGTTTGTTGTGATATTCAATTAATATAATTGTCTTTGGATCTTTTACCAAAAGATCTTTTAAAAGGAAAGTGAAGTTTGGCGGAAATTGGTTTCAAACAGAATTACTGTCACGCTTGTCACGCAAGGTTTGCTGGCTTCTCCCCTCTGCCGTCCCTTTGCGTAAGTTCACTAATATGACTCCCGTGACTGTCTCCTCTCTCCCCAGCCCCCGTGCGTTTTCTGCGTCAGTTTTCACGATCTCTGCACATTTCTAGGGACCAATAAAATTCGAGAAAGGCAACAACAACGAGAAAATTAACAATACAGTATGTTTGATCAGCAAAACAACAATTCGGCACATGCATCACACTTTTCAGTACATTTCTTTGCCGTTACTGCACGACTACGACCTGGAAATGCCTAACTTCACTATTTATGGAGAACGTAAACAAGCGACGTCGACGAAATTTTCTTTCCCTTTCTGAACTTGGACATGGTTCCTAGCAATTCAGCTTCCAAGGACCGTTCGCTTGGATATGAAAAAGTAAGTGAATAGGAAGAGACTTGTAATGAAGATTGAAAAAACACGAATTTACTTTTTAAGCGACGTTTTCGCAGCCATCGGCGTCACTGACATCTGAAGATCCCTACTCACTTGGAGCTCGTACAGGCCAAGTACACCATCAGAAATGTTTAATAAACTTTTCAACTTGCTTTGCATTATTATAATCCCTGCTAATCCGGCCATACCTGCTGAAGTCTTTGCATTTCTCTACACACGATCATTTCTTCTCGAACAGTTTCAGATCCTACCATCTCCAGGTGATCCAGATGATGCGTCAACTCCCCCACAGGGAAGGGGTGAGAAAATTTGTCCATGTACATTAAGGTGAAGCTCAAATTCTGTTTCTTCACAACTTCATAAGGCAAGCCAAATTCAAAAACTTCATTTAAGTTAGGATTAGCGTTTCGCTCGTGAATGTCTGTTTTTAGGATTTCTTTCTTCATTGCTGGTATCAGCTTTAGTTCCAGGAAAACATTTGGGGAATCTCCGGCATACTGTGGGAACTCTTCTCCTTTAATCAGCTTCACAATCAGAACGGTCCTGTTAAGAATGAAATTGCTTTATAAAATAAACTTATTACCACACAGTGCAAACTAATACATAAGTCAGAACCAGAAGCCGGTATGACTGAGGTGTAAGAGAAGGCACCCCTCGACTCAACCTTTTCAAAGACATGGTCTGGAGATATTTTTAGACTCGCCCCCAGACCATAAGTCCTAAGGGGATTTGATTAAGAACAACACATCACATGGCGCGAATGTGCGATAACCTACGCTCAGAGCTATTCGTGTACATGTCCTTCGCAAAGTGACGCAAAACAAAATGGGGGGAGACGCGGGGGAATAATGTACTCTTCGATCGTGTTGTCGATTAAAATAACTACACAGGGAGATTTCCACTGACGCAATGACTTGACCAAGCAGACTAAGTCATAGTATCCTAGTCTTACCTGAGCGCATCAAACTGAAGAGAAAAGTATACTCGACCGAGGAATTCTGCTTCACTCGGTGGAGTAAATCGCTCCGGGGGGCCTGAGTCTGATAAGTCGTATGGCGTTATATTTTCTCGAGGGACTGTGGACTATGAACAAAGACAAACGTCAAAATAGTTGATGATTTAGTTAGGACAAGTATACACTCCATTTACACAAAGTTTAAACGCGTTTAAAAGCAGTCCAGTTAAACAAGGTTTAAAATTGTTTCCCTAGAAAAAGCTTGGTAAATGCTTGGTTGCCACTATTGGCATCGACCGTTATAAATGGCAACGACTGTTTAAGAAAGGGTAATAGGCGTCGCAAGCTCCCTGTTGCCATTTTTAACGATAGATGCCACCATTGCCAACCAAGCTTTTAGTCATGATAGATGCTATATATTCCCTGGATTAAGTTTCAATAAAGTATACCGTATTTATTCGATTAACCGCTCTGGGCGCTTATTCTGAATTTTTGGACCTTGAGAGTGGGCGCTTATTCGAGGTGGGCGCTTATTCGAGGCTGGGCGCTTATTAAATTTTCACCATTTTCAGCAAGTGAAGTATGTTTACTTTGCAACAAAACAACAAAAAGCTAATAACAAAACGCGAAGAAGTAACAAACCAAGGTTTCTGTAAAATACTCGGAAGAAAACTCCGTCCTCGGGGAAGTCTGTTATTAGAATTTATTCACTCGTTTGGGTGGGTTGGGGGTGAGCGCTTATTTGAGTTTGATTGAGAGGAGGAGAGGGTGGGCGCTTATTCTAGGGTGGGCGCTTATTAACTTTTTCTGCCTTTAGGATGGGCGCTTATTCGAGATTGGGCGGTAATTCGAGGTTGGGCGCTTATTAGAATAAATACGGTAACTAAATAATACGTTTTTGAATAGCCTTAGAAAAAACGGCGTTTAGCCCAAGTTGAATTTACGTTAAAAGTTATAGAAAGGGCTAGGTTCACCTGCTTTGGGCAGTTATAAAAAGCAGTTTGTTAGATAAGTGCTTAAATTGTTCGGAATTTTAGAGGGTCGAGTGCTAAGGGAAAGAACTTAATTTGAGTTGAATATTAATGTAGTTGTTGCCTAACCGAATGCTGGTTCTTGCGAACCTTCCACACTAAACCGTGCCATGATTCTTTTAGAAAACGGATTATTCTAAGACACGTTTTAGATTACTTCTGTCGAAATAAGAGAGTATACGCATCAGATAGTATGAAACTGAAAAAATAAAATTAAACGTCAGCTATCAAAAACACCAGTTCTGACCCATGTTTCTGATTGATTTGTGGAACTCTTGCAATCGACCTAAAAATAAACAATGAAAATTTCAAGGCACGAATGCATGGCAGGAAGAGGATAATTTGCCGGTTTTTAAAGCGTTTTTAACATTCATAAATTTATTTACCGTGACCATCTCTTCTTCGTCTGAGCTGGAATAAGGAACCTCGTCATCGTCCTTAATCGAAGAATCCTGAGGCTGAACAGATACTACACTGACTTCCGGTTTGGGGATCCAGGGAGGTGGGTTGGATACCGGATATTGTCTAGGAGGAATCTTTTTCTTTTTCTCTTCGTCACCTGCCAGAAAGGGAAACAAAAGGTTTAATAATTAAATCTACGAAACCGAAACATTTTGTTTGTGAACTGGCCCTAAACATTGTTCTCACCTTTTTCTTAAAGAGTTAAATTTTAAAAAAATGTGTGCAAATTCAAGTCGTTGTTTCATCGCATAGTTTAAAAAGTTTTTTCTTTTTTTCAATCTTAAATAAAACATTAAAAAAGGGAAAAGTAAGGGAAGACAAATGTAGTTTGAGTAATGGCCCTGTTGTAAATTAAATATGCTCACTGGTACAGATTCGAAGCAGAACTGACTCTGTATTTTTGATGTGGGTAGTTCCATGTTATCAGTAACGGTTAGTCGCAAATTCTAATAGCATAGTATACGTACAGCGAACATAGAGATCAGACCATGTGTCCTAGCACGCGTAGAAGGCGCTTGGATGTAGCTGGCGAAAGAGAGAACGGGCGCGCGCGAGGGACACACGCGACGGGTGTCTCCTACTCGCGCGCCGTTTTTTCTGGTGCCCACTACTTCCAAGCGCACGCAGGCTACAATTGTCCCAAAAAGTGGGCGCGATCGCCGTACGAGCCAACGACAGGTGGTCGTTTACGAGAGGTTCCAACTGCAGGGCTTTAACAGGAAAAATGTAGGTGTTTTATATCGATGGTCACTTACTAGAGGTGGTCGCCCTATAGTTCGTAAAACAAAGATCACATTTACGGACTTAAAGTTCGGGATATCAAGATTCAAACGCTGGGAACCACCACCAAATCCGGGTGAAATAAAAAAATAACCGCTCAAAACGTTAAAAGGGAGTATGGATAACACAACAAATACTAAAGGAGGCACCGATGGACAAACTTGAGAAAGATTAAAACGGATTGCATACAATTGAGGATTTTGAAAACTTGTTAGGTTAACGGGTTTTCAAAGTTCATTTGTTGTGTCTAAAGTTAGATCTATGCTTGAGAGGTATATTTGTTGGACAGGAAGCTGTGATTTTATCTTTTACAAGTAATTTCGTTGATAACGTTAAGTTGCATAATAATTATAACAAAATAAACCAGACAACCGTTACATCGCGCCTCTAATAATACATAAACAGTATAAGCAGCAGACCTTTCTGTTGAATTCGCTTGCCATTTGGTTCCTTGACTTTTTCAACATGTCCGTTCTCCTTTATAGACTCAGTGTTTTCATTGGCCTCTGTAGCAGTAGGAACTTGTCTGTAGTCAAGGAACTGTTCCATGAAACTGAGGTTCTTAAACTTTCTCCAACATAACACAGAAAGTACTCCAAGAGCCATGACTCCACCCAAGGCTATCACGGTCAATAAAAGGGGAAAGAGGTCTGATCCAAGGCTCTGAATTAAAGCAACAAAAGCCACTTGATTTTTTACTATAAGTAGAAGTATAACGGGTCTCAAAGAAGCAATTATCTATGAAGTGATCAGGATGATTTACATTCTTCACTATCGGTAACCCGTTAAACGCTGTATGCAAAATCATTGGATGTAAATTGTTGTAAGCTGGATTTGTTCGGAAACCTTGTTGGACGGTGTAATGTGTTGCTGTATCAGGTGCAGGTGAGTTATAAAAACATACGATTGTGCCTTGAGAAACAGTTCAATACGTAGGGGGTGCAACCTGAACACCAGCTTTTTTATTCAGTGTTACTATTCTCTTCCATGGTTCTTTCCTTGTCAGTTTAAAGTATTTTTGTATTTTTTCTTCTTCTTTTTTTTATTTTGCCAGAGGGCAACGAAAAAAATCAACTGAACTAAAATAAAACCTCTACATTACTGAATTCATGTTGGTAGCGACAGATGTTTGTAATGATAACGTATTTAAATTAATAAGATGTTGCTAAATGATAACATTTCACATCTCATTAAATCACGTGTCCCTCAAATCAATTTGTACACAGTGTTCTGCGATTTATAAAGTAAGGCGACCGAAGAATTTGTTAAAACTTTATCGAACCGGTCTTGCCTTGAGCCGGAACATCAAGCCCTAATTTTTGCAATTTTTAAAATGCATGCTTTAAAATTTGTTCTCCTGTCGTGTTAAAATGCCAATTTCAGCAGGCCCAAAAGCGCATAATATTTTTTCAGAATCACAAAAACACCCAAAGCCCTTCAACTGATCATGAACAGAACCCGAACGGAACGCTTAATTGTATCTTTATCTGCGTTGCAGAAAGTAATTGACTTTTCCATTTTATTTTATTCTATTACAATTATTTTTAAATACACATAGATAAATACATTATTATTATTATTATTATTATTATTATTATTATTAATATTATTGTAGCAGTTTACAACGTATACATGCTTAGAAAAATAGCCACATAAGGCGCAGTGAAATTCGTTATATCGCGCTGCGCGTATTGCAAACTTCGAAGGGATTTTGGGTTTTTCTTTTCCGTCAATCATTTTAGTGAAGACGGGGTTAATGCAAATCACAATGCAACGTGCTCGCCCGGCTTGGCTGAGAACGACTCTAGACTGCTCAAGAATAGCGAAGGAAATTGCGATGGTGAGTGGATTTTTTGTCGACGGAAGGAGGCAGCCGTTGCTTTATTCTTGAGAATAAGAAAGATCAGAAAAATCTGCGAAGCAATTTTAACTAGTCGATTATTGCCCGAAACGGGACGATCACAAAGCAACGAACCTTGAAACACGGAACAAACAAAAACAGATCGAGATCCACCAATCACGTTCAGCTGTACGATCTTGTAGTCTGGGTACTGTTTGATAAGCTCCCACCACAGTGGTTGATACTTCTCTGTCTTTTCAAAATCCTTCTTCTTGTGATTGTCTAGCCTGAGTATCAGGCCTTCCTACGGGGCTGGGGGAGAGGAGATTTTAGATGGGGAGGGGGGAGGGGGAGAAGAGAAACTTCACCTCTCTTCCTTTTTCGCTTCCATTTTTCCCCTTTTCCCCAGAAACGCCTGATACTCAGGCTAGTGATTGTCCAACCATGGACAGCTCATTTCAACCCTTAACAGCCTCATCCCATTGTGGTCTACAAATCGTGCATCCACGTACACCCTGTTGGCTCAAACGAAAGTGTGTTCTGCATAAACAGGAAATCCCAGAATTCTTGAGCATTTTCTGACTCGTACAACGCTTTGCGCTCCACCCGCGAGTACTAACAGAGTCAGCAAGTTTGAGGTGAGTATTTCAAAGAACAGAACTTTTAGCGCAACATTATGCCTGAGTGTCCATGTACTTATGTACATCCCGCCAAAACGTGAGCAAGGCTTTCTCGCACCTTACCACACATTCTGCACATGGTGTTAATTTCGTCTGAAGTACTGGTACTGTAAGCCGCATAACCTCGGGATGGTAAGAGCTATTCACAAAGTTCCATAACCCCGGCTATACTATTGTTATTATTAATATTATTATTATTATTATTACTATTATTGTCAGTTCGCACGGTTTTCTTGGTCAGGTGACCTCATTCCCGTCACCTTAGGTATCCATCGCCTTTCTTATAATTCTTGATGTTGCCATACAGTAAACAAGTTTTTTGTAATGGTAGAATACTTCGGTCGAGTCCTGCTTTCTTTAGATACATATGGAATCTTTCACTGACTGTTCCGAGGGCACCAATGACGATCGGTACAAGCACAACGTCTTCTTGAAGACTTATTCGATGATCAAATGGGCAAGCGTTATCATTATTGTTATAAACAGAAACGGGACGGGGCGCTTTGTACGCTTTTATGCGTTACAGAAAAAATCGCTTTTTGACAGTTAATTAAGAAAGAGCCGGTTTCAGGTCAACTTCGAAGCATGACGAATTCGCCGCCATGAACGTAAAAAAAGAGACTGTCTCAAGTAGTATCCAAGTAAGAAAAATGCTGTTATTAAGAGAGAAACTACATGTGCAGTTTTCAACAACTGGAAAAATACGTATTGAAAGATAAAAGAGAAAGAAAATGAATGCTAAATAAATGTTAGGTATCAGAAGACTGACATACCATTTTGATGTACACAAATCCCTGTTTTGTCCTACAACTTATATCGTTCAAGGACTCAGCAAAATATTCATTGTCCCTACAGTACTAGTATACCGCAAAGGACGCGAGGCACGTTCCATAAGACAGCAGACCAAGCTAAATGGAAAGTTCATGAAATTTTGAGACATAGAAATGCATACTACTTTATGTTGCAACCTAATATTTATCAGAATTATTTTTTTTAAATACCTGACTGATGAAAGAGAAGCTAAAGAGATGTAATATACGGCAAAAGTCCTTCTCGGTAGCTTTCATTTCAATGATCAAACTTTAAGACTTAATTCACATGTAAAGATTAAAAGGTGGATCGCTAACCACCTTGTTCAGTATTAATATACAGTACTGCTCAATAACTTTCATTTGATGTCACACTTTAGGATTTCAACTACAGACTCAAAAGTTAAGTTAGAACCACACTTTCTGCATCGTGATTAAAAGCACCACTAGAGAGCACTTCCCAGATGTAGCTTTCATTTTTGCTCTTTAATATTATGTTTTTAAGATACGTTACATGTCGTCAATTTCAAACAAATTTGGCGGCAGGTTATGTTAATGTTAATATGCAGTTGTGTTAAAATAGGTATAGCAATACATTTAAAAGTGTGAGAATAATAAAATCTACAGTGTAGTTTATTACAAAGTGAAACGTTTTGTCCAAATGGAATTGTCTTTTGTGGACTCCTTTTTTAACGAAGAACATATCTTAGAGGAGATAGCCGATCTTCCATGTTATACTCCAATAGATCACAAATGACGGTGAACGACCAATCTAAAGAGCGTGGCGATGATTTGCACAAATATTACATATGTTACTTTTTAACCTCTATCAAGAGAGGATAAAGGGGACAGAGAAGGCATCCTCCATACACACCCTATTCCATACGTAATTCGTCTCGAGTTATTTTAAAGACCACAGATCCCAAGGGGGATTAGACAACAGTCAATCACATAACGCGAATATGTTCCGCGTGGATGACCCACGCTCAGAGCCACGCGTCCTTCACGAATTGAGGCAGAAAAAAATGGCGGAAGACGCGGAGAGCAATATTGCTATTCGTTTTGTCGACGAAAACGACTAAAGAGAGATTTCTGCTAAAGCTGTGTCAGCGAAACGGAAATTAAAAAAGAATCGCCCTTCCTCTCTTGTATAGAGCTAACAGTACAGCAGGGAAATCCTTAACACAGTGAATATTCTCTCAGGATCATTTATAATTTACAGTTTGAAGAGAGCAATTTCTGGTTTGATATTTGTTCTTTTATTAGTCTTTTATTATTCAACAAAAATAACACTTGGTGACCTATAATAATAATAATAATAATAATAATAATAATTTAATAACTTCTAGAGCGCTATTGACATTCACTGATCAACAGCGCTTAACAACTTAAAAAAAAACTACAGTAAAATTCAAATTTGTAAAACTAATTACATGTACATGAATATTACTTGCTACTTGCTTAAACGAAGCGCGCGAGGTAACTTTATCCCGATTCTAAAAATAACTTGAGACGAATTACCTATGGAATAGGGTGTGTATGGGGGATGCCTTCTCTGTCCCCTTTATCCTCTCTTGCCTCTATATAATACATTTGAGCATGACCACATAATTTAGACCCTGAACTTCGACCTAAATCTCGCCTCACTTCAGTACTGAACGGCGGAATTCGAAAGTGATTATAATCATTCATGCATCGATTTTTACTGATTTTGGCTTTGCAATCACCCTTGACAGAATCAAAAAGTAAATGGAGCTTTTTGTTTCGTTTGTTGATATTAGACAAGATACGTTTTTGGAATTAATGTTTGATTAATTGCTGCGGTATTTAAAATCATATTGAGTAACTGAATCTAACCTGATATCACCATTTGACACCGGAATTAGGTAGGCTGTGTTTATCAAGTTGATCAAAATCAACTTTCTTAAAGTTGCGCAAGAGGGTCCTTGAAAAAAAGTATTTTTTGAATGTGCTCACATTAAATGAATTAGATATATCGTATCTCTTCAGAAACAGCAATTGTAAATTTCGTTGATAGTCTTAGTTTTCTTGAAAGTCCTCCTTTTCACTTTGGTTCCTTTTACGGAGATTAGTATTACATTCAGTAAATAAGGGTATGCATTACAATTGTCATTTCGTCTTGTTTTGATTTGTTCAGTCTTTTATTATCAAGAAAAAGTAAAATAAAATATTATTTAAAATCAGAATCTACTACTGAATATATATTTATAATATATATCTGTAACTCGAGTATCAAACACTAGACTGATGATCGCCCAGCTATAGTGCGGGAAATTCGAGTAAGATTTAAAACTTCCTGTCTCGTCAACTTTGTATTTAGCTCTGGACTTATGTTGGGCATAGAGCACTCCTAGGTTAGGATAACTGAAGCAATCTTCATTGTGTAGTCGTTATTATATATTCGTTATGATTATGATTATTATATTATTATACAGCAATGAAAATATTTTTACAAAATTTACAAATGTAATTGGATTTTTTGAGTAGTGCGGTTGATCCTAAAGCGATGAGAAAATCCGTCACTAGAGGGAACTGACAACAAGAAAAAAACAACTCATAAAAATTCTTAGTTTCAAGGTATTAACCTTATTGTAGATAGCGTCGGTGGGCTTTATAGTGCTTAAATACTGACATGAAGTAATATTTTGGTTCCGAGGCTGTGATGAGATTGTTCATTCCTTTTCCTCGCAGTATAATGTTTAATATCATATCCCTCTTACTGATTCATGATTACTTGGTTAGTAATCAGAATATTGTTGTCTGTTTTTTGGCAGGAACAATATGCGACGGTAAACATAAACATGACTATACGACTTTAAAAAATTACTGGGGAAAACTTCGTTATGAAAAGCATGTCTAATGGCTGAAATTTTTGTCGCGCCGCGCTATGAATTGGTACAAGATACGATCGCAGAAATTTTCCTATCCGTATTTTGTACTGGGATATTGGCTTGATAAAAAAAGAAAATAAAATAATTGAAGCTGAGAATAAGGAATTAAAAGTAGAAACTTACTGGCATGCAGTTATTCTTGGCACAAATCAAATGGAGTTGAGGTATTCAATTTGAATTGAGGAAATCTTACTATATCTGTTTCGGTTTTCACTCACCTGTGTATCAAAGCTATAATTTGAGAGCCATGAAAGGAGGAGTCCAACTGCAAAAGCGTGATTTCTTTGAGTTAAAACCTGAGGTAGAAAATGAAAAGGATTTCTCGTTTTTGGTAACAAATCAGTGAAAAATAGAGTCATCTGCGCATTCGTCAGGAAAGATTAAAACCAAAATCAGTAAAACACTAGAGAAAGCAAAATATGGCATAAGTATTTAAAATTTCCCTTACCGCTTTTTCCTCATTTTATAGGATGCCTTCAGCTACAAATAATTCTGAATGGAGGTAATTCAAAATGTTTTGACAAATAGGGAATAAAATTTCCTTTGGAGACAAGTGACGCCCGGAAGTTTAAATAGAAATGTCATTTGCAACAAGACATTTTCTGTCACTAAATCATTAATAACAAAACACGTATTGCACAAATCTCTCAATATTGTCGATTTTTTTTTTTTTTTTTGCAAAATCCGTTTTTGCGTGGTATATTCCACTAAGCTTACATTTCTGTTTGATTAAATATTTGAGGGGGAGGCAAATATTTTCGAAAAGGTAAGATTTTAATTTCAGTTTCAAGAAACGAAATGATAATTCTTTTCACATTTAATTTTTTGCGTCCCAGCCAAAAAAATAACCGGTACTATGTTTTAAATTTATCAAATTCAAGAAAAGTAGTTGATGTGAGAGCGGTTAAAAACAGTAGAAAAAAAACTTATATTTACCAAGAGTAAATCTTCGATTTACCCGTTTCACTGGTATATTACAGAATGTTTATTTTGTATGATATGGCCTCAGATTTCCATTGATTTGAAGTAAATCTCTTTTGTACATTTTACCTATGAAAATTATTCATACCGAGTCAGTGTTTTGGCAATCGGGCACAAGTTATGCAAACTAGTCTTTCAAAATCCGAGGCTACACCGGCCGACAAAATTTTAACTACGAACAATTTCGCTTGACTATATGATCAGTTTTAAAAATGTTAAAATATAATAATAAAAATAATGTCATAAAATAAAATGAAATAAATGAAAGTAGTCAAACTAATGTACCTTAAATTTACTTGTTCAAGAATATTCTGTCCCTCCATCGCTAGCCTTTATGGTAATTTGAATTTTAGTAGACTGAGTAGGACTCACGACGCGGCGAGCGACTGAAGGAAAACAATGGGCGGAAAGTCGCTAAGATATGTATAGTATCTTGCCATCGACCTCGGTTTTACCGCAGAAATGCGAAATCGAACCAGCCTTGGTACAGATTAACCCAAGATCATTTTCTTTCAGGTATTGATGAACACGACCTGCAGGTTGCATAAATTTCTTCCAACTGTGGGTAAGAGAATACTGTTCTTTGAATGGCTGCTGATTAATAAGAAACGCAAATGGAGAGAGAGCGAATGAAGATTATACATCACTCGCACCCTATCAAGCCATCGCCGTTCATTGTTTAGGGATAATGGCTGCCCACGCCAAATGTAGTTGGCAAACAAAGGACACATTTGCTTTCTTTCCGTCCTAAGCAACATGCTCAATTATTCACCTCTACAGGACCATCTGCCTCCTCGGTACCACATTTATTTACCGGGCAATATCGGCCTTAAATTTCGCTTTGGCTCCCAATTTACGCGAAAAGAAAAATAATTATAATAAAAAAAATTGACGACAAGTAGAGGAAGCCGACCTAAAAAATTCAGTGCCTTGCATGCGTTTTTAATTCTCTCCAATCTGTGGCCTATCAGTTTTCTCTTTGAATTTACAAAATCAATTAAAATCGGAGAAAAACTCTATTCAGTGTCTATTCATTAACTCGCAAAGGAACACGAAATTCAGGATAACTAGCGATTGCTTGGTGCACAAGATTTTTATAACTGAATATTTTTGTTGTTCTTAACATTTGATGAGTTGTTAAATTTGTCTTTTCATATATTTTTTTCCTAATTGCCTTTTTTGCTTATTATCTTATCTTGGTACCAGTCCATCGCAAAACTAATTACACCCACTCATCTCCATCCCTAAAACTGCCTTTGTCTTCAGTTTATGTTCGCAACCAATTCGATGCCAAGAATGCTTACGACTGTCGCGAGCAGTCATACCGGGAGATTTAAGATGGTTTCATTATACTAGGTTTTAGAGAGATGTCTTGTCTGGCTTGTGAATGCTGTAAAATTGGATCACTTTAAATATGACAAAGAATAAATCTAGACAGGGATAAGTGACGGGGATGATCGAATGGAGCCAAAAGTCAAGACCCAAAAAAATCCCTAGGGCTTCCAGCAAAACCCCAAAAAATCCCTGGACCAAAAATTAACCCCCAAAAAATCCCATGCCGATTTTGTGGCCCTTAAAAGCTCCAGAAAGGGGTAATAATGCTATCACAAAGAAAAGCATTGGAAATTGAACACTCGTGTTTGTTTATTCATCATACCATCTGAATATATCCTTTCCCTCATCTGGCAGTCATTTTAACAAGTTAGAGCGGGTGCTAGAGGCACCCAAGAACGGTTTTGTTTCAACAGTAACGTTATGAATAACTCTAAACAAGACCAACCTGGGTAAGAACATAACGAATAACTTTACTAAGTTAATTACAAATATTAAAAATGATAATAATGCTTCGATAAACTATGATGCATCCGTAGAGACTTATATAGCATATATTCCAATATCATTTTTGGGTAATTACCAAGGGTATATTAATGAAAACTATTATTGTACAGGTAGACCCGGGAGGTAAACAGTAACTGGAAAACAAAACTGAACGCTTCCGCTGCTAAAGAGTAACGGAAGGTCGCAAGACGTTCGTACGGTGTCCAAAGCTAGAATAGCAGATAACTTAATAAGAAAAAGCATTTCTGTCTTCACTGACCTTGGTCGCGGACTCATGTTTTAAACTATATACATGTGATTTTGTTCTATCCTTAGTGTCACACAAATCTAGCTAGACTAGAATACCGACAATATAGCTTGATTGAGTCACATGTTTCGTCGAACATTTCTTGAACAACAAAGATGAACTCGATTTGCGTGATGACTATGCTTACAACAGCCACCTGTTTTTAATCAGGCCTACGTTCAGCCGTAGTCTTCTAATCTAATACTGTGTTCATGCCAGCACCGCGACATGGTAATAAAGAATACTGTTACACGAAACACTTTCCCGTAGTCGTGCTTGCAACTGTATAGTTCACATTATCTGCCTGTTTAAGACATACGCACATGACTGATTCTTAAAATTACACTGAAAATAAGTTCCTCAAAATTGAGGAAATCGTGTTCAGAATTAAAATCCCTACTCAAATCAAGCTACCCAAAAAAATACTTGCCAAATTTTCGTACCCAAAAAAATCCCGGAATCGAAAATTTCAAACCCAAAAAAATCCTTGGATCATCCCCGTCACTTGAAATCCCGAGTACCCCCCGGGGATAAAGGTAAATAGAGGAAAAGAGTGTCCGCAAAATGAAAAATGTAGTGGTAAAAATCTGACAAATACCGGAGCTCGGCGCTTTTTCATTGAATTGAGTAGGAAGGCAAGGTTGTCTTGACGAAAAAACCCCTTAAAACTTGCAACACAAATTATTGCGTGATTGACCGTTAATTTTACTAGTAAGCCACCCAATATTCACATCACGATCATGCGCAGAAGATTTTTTTTGCCCCATGTAACCGAATCCAGGACAGTCTTGGATTTTGGATTCCACGATGTGGATTCCGGATTCCAGGTACTGGATTGCAGTCATTGTCGGTAGAACTTGGATTCTTGATTCCAATCGAAAACGCGTTAGTGGATTCCGGATTCCTTAACCTGTATTCCGGATCCCAAAGCCCAGGATTCCGGATTCCACATGTACAATTTTCCCGGATTCCAATTTCCTCACGCAAAAATTTCACAGAATCCGGAGTTCCTTACAAGGGAAGAATTTTTTGAAAAGGACCTGAGCGAAGCAAATAACAATGCAGCATCAGGTACATCAAATTTCTCCTTATTTAAAATGCTTTAATATTTATCCTGTGGCGAAAGATTAGCTTATAGCCTATGGATATACAATGTTTCGTCTCCGTTTTAAAGAAAAATTCACAAATACCTGAAGGAGGGTCACTGAAATTGTAAAAAAATTGTAAATTTAATGAATGTGTTTATTTTTTGTTCAGTGCTAACGTCGAAGTTGGAACTAGTAAATAGAGTCAATGAATGCTACCCGTTAAAAAGCTTTTAGGGCCTTTGTAATAAGCTCAACGCTAGAGGAACATCCTTTTATGTTACCAATAAACAAGCGGTTCTCTTTTGGTAGTCACGTGTTCGTGCATCCCCCTAACCATATAAACCAATAAATTGTTACACTCATTCAACTAGACATACAAATCGGCCAAATTGAAATGTGAATAATGGCCAATTGCAACATTGTCAATTCTAACACTTGTTGATATTGGGCATCCTATGAACAGCTTTGTCATGAGCGTATCCATCCCGGGCACCACTCCTCGCTTGACAAGGCGTTTGTTTTGAGGTTATCGCTGTACAATTAATAACATTTGATATTTAGGTTTTGAGGTTTTTAAATCGTTTTCTTCTTCTTAGTGAAAGATAGGCTGCGTGTATTCCTCTAAGTATGTTCTTTCCTCAGGGATAGTTTAGTGAGTACAGAACACGCGAGCCCGCGTAAAATTCAATTGCAGTTTCTCGCACCCTGGCTTAAGTGCAGTTTCTCTCGCTCTGAGAGAAAATGACTGACTTCTCGTATTCGAGGTGAAAAAAATTATTTTTCACATCCAGTTATGAAATTATCTAGTTAAAATGCATGGATAGCTTTCCGAAGAGGGTAAGATTTTCAACCTTTCCCGACGGGAGGAGCTTGGACACAAAAGTTTTGGTGAGCTCCCCTTTTAGGCTTGGCCTATTTTTTTTTATTGTAACAGCTAACAACAATTACATTTGCTTACGGCAAACACTCAAGGAAATATTCCCAGGGTCGCATGCCTATAAAAAGAATTAGCTTAAGAATCATCCATAGTAAAAAAAAATAGTCATATCTCGAAATTTACAATTTTTAGATGATTAGATAGAGCTAGTCGAGAATTATATTTTCTTTTTACAAAAAAAAAATTCAGCAAACGTTTTATTCGAGATCTAGTGATTTGCGATCTCTAACTTCTTCTGCTTTTAATAAAAGAAACAACGCCCTTGACAAAAATCTAAGACACTGTTTGGTAGTTAAAGAAGCGAATGCGATTTTAATTTAATTAATTTTTCCGTTTGTGTTTGGTTTGCCTGTCAAATTTACAGATACATGAACTTTCACAGAAAGCACGTTGTTTCTGAAACGTATTAACATTTAAGACTTTTTGAAGAAATTATCGCTAATCTGAAACTGTTAATGCTTGTAGGGGTATAATATATTAAAACTACAATTAATCGCCAAGCAAGCGCGATCCGCGCGAGAATTATAAGGGTAGCTGACCGCAGTGACGCAACTTTAACTTGGATGTTAAATATGTTTTGCAGTGCGAAAAAGTCAACAAACTGAACACAGATGTGACTGAGGTTTCAGGAAATTACTAAACAGAAAGAAGGAAGTCATAATTTGGATAAAAATCTACCAACGATTGTCACAACATGGGCAACCTCAACTTGAAGGTTGCAATAAAATATTTTAATATTTAAAACAAGCTTTTCGAATAACTTGTACCAGAAACTCATAAGGGGTTGAAACGTGCACCTCGCGTTCAATGCTCGTGAATTTTCACTTTTACCATATTTGGAAACCTTAGTGACAGATATTCCATTTTCATCATTTTCAACACAATGGCTGCCACGCGATCACCATGCAGATGTTTTAAGATAAGAGTTCTGCATTTCAGGCTTAAAAATACACCATTAAAAGACAAAAAATAGAAAGAGAAAGTTCAAAAGAATGGTCAGCTTTCTTTTTGTGGAGTAAGGGAAGCTTTTCATCAAGAAATCGTCCTTCGAGGAATTCAACCTTGTTTTCTTCACGACGAAATCTCTGATCTGTTTTGAAATGCAACCAAGGCAGTCAAGTTTTTGCTAAATTTTCAGGTACGTTTTGCACTCTATGGCCAAGACACTTACGTTTTTGAAAGGGAATTTATGTATTTTTAAATGTTTCTTAGACGTTTTATAAATTTTTCTCCTCGGCGCTAAAGAAAAATTTCAAAATGTGCCCCGATTTGAGATGGATTTTGTGTTGAATTTTGCCATGTGCTCAGCCGATTTCACTTGCGTGAACGGATTCACGACCGAGATAGTGTTTTCCGAACTTTTTGGATTTGAAGTAAAAATTTTCAAGAAACGGCTTCTCTGTCTATTGTTTTGAGTTTGTTCATTCGTAGAATTAGCTCAAAACACGATCGTGACTGCAACATCCAAGCTGAATTTAAGCTTAAATGCCTCTGACATTCATTACACGCATCACCTTTTGCGAAGATGTCAGTTCAGGTTTTGGACACTTTTCGATACGCGACTAATCAATTTTATTCGAAAATATTTGTTACCGTTTATTCCAGACTGTTAATATAAGAATTTTAAAAGCCTATTTGCAGTATAAGTTTACTGTGCCAGAGTCAACGAGGCATCGTCTTTTGAAGTGACAACTTCAACAAGTTGCGAGGGCGTCAAAGGGTTTCATAATGTTACGTTTGGCCCAGGTGGTAAGGCAACAATATCCTGCTCAGTGTTTCGCTAAGATTCCTGGATTCAACCTTTGAAATCTTTCTCGGCTTTTTAGAGTTTTTCGCCCGTTTGTCCGCCATTTTTTTTAAGCGGGCACGGGAACCTGAAGTAAAACTGCGTCACGTTGTTTACGAAGTTTGATTGGTCAGTTATCTCTTCTTCTCGTTCCAAATATGGTACTTTCGAAAATGAATAATCACGAGCATCGGACAAAGCAAACATATGATAGTTACACGTTTCAACCGCTTATGAGTTTCTGCTTGTACCTGCTTCTTTCCAGTTGGCGTTTCTTTACTGTTTGACAGTCAATACAGTATACTCAAAGACCATAAAAAAACATCCATAAGGTTTTTGACCTCCTACACAACCTTTCCCAAGTCTGAGCTGCAGGAAACACGCCTTAAAAGCCGAGAGGGGTCCTACAAAGACGAGGAAATGAGCACATAGAACGATCGGGGAGGGATGAAAAAGAACGGTCTCTAATTTCTGTCTCAGAGCCCCTTCGCCCTATGTCTTATTATTTATTTATAAAAATATCCCCAAACTAAGCGATCATTAGAAACTGGGAATGAGGTCAAGACTGATGTCAGACGAATACCCGTTCAAATCAAGATCGTTTTTTGCGCCATTACACCAGTCTTTAAAAAGGATACCTAGATATAATAACTGCCGCTCCAGAAAACTTTTTGGAGTTCCTTGTTCTAGAATTAATTTAAGAGAATGAACAGTAGTTCCAATACCCTTCGTTCCAAGTGATCTTTCACTTATTAAAACGTGAAATCGTCAGTTAGAAGTGCCTTTCATGATTACTCAGTTTGACATTTAATAAAATCTTTATAAGATTAAAGGCAATTTTAACCGATTTTCCCGTTGTTAGTAAAACTTGTTAACCTTTTTTTATCAAATCACTCTTAGGAGTAAAGACCATCTCAAAATGAAAATAAAACAATTTGAGAAAGTGCCATAAGAAAGAAAGTTTAAAAAATACATTCCGCCTCGTGCGTTTTCAACTCAGTATGGGCAAATAGAATAATAAATGAGGTGAGCAATCATAGCAGATTGGGACAATTTATTCATAAAATTCAGTAAATTTTCTTTCCTTCATATGTGAAGAAGGAAACGAAAAGCGGCGGTCTTCGTAAAGGCGTTTTTGCTTCTCGACTTTGTTGCTTGGATATGAGTAAAATATAAAGGGTTGCTTTCCATTTACATGGGCAAACCGATCGGTTCACAGTTTAGTAGGTAAATTGTAAGCAAAATTCAGCACTGGTAAATTTCTTCCCAGAATTGCCTTTATCATTTGTAAAAATCAGTTCCATTTACCGAAAAACGGCCGCAAAAGCCTGAGACTGGTTTCAGAGTTGGTTTTGAATAATCCGTTCGGAACATTTTGTCCGGAAAAAAAGAACTGCCTTTCCAGAGGTTCCGTTGTTCGCGGAAATGTTCCACTGGAACGACCCAAAAAGTCGTGTTCTATTTACTTTCCAGCCGGTCTTTCCGGAAACGTTTTGTAAATGGTAAACAACCAAGATCTCGGTTATAGATCACGTTTTTACGCAGCCTAGTCCTTAGTGGTTCTCATGTTGTCCCGAAAATGGAATGGGCCGGACAGGAGAGGAGTTCTTCTTGGGGAGTCTCATTCGGCGACGTAACGGCTTACATGGCCGGTCTACGCCTAGCTGATTAAGAAGAACCTAGGAGCTAGGCTGGCAATGACCATTGCACAGCTGAACCCCGTTAATACGGTCACCAACAGGCCAAAAAAAAAATTGGCCGTATTAACGAGGGGTTTTTTTATAAGAAAATGTATGGCCGTTTTGCCAGCCGGCAAAAAAAGTGGCCGTAATAACGAGGTGACCGTATTGCAGAGGTGGCTGTAAGGCAGGGTTTCACTGTATTACGAGAATAACATTGGTCTGTAAGGACACAAACGCTTCGATAATTCACGCACGCGTATTTATAGCACTTTTTACTCTCAGCCAACAGCCCTTCTTTTGGTCCATTATGATCGTGAATTGATAAAACATTAGGACGCCTTTTGTTTATTTGATTTGCTTGACCTTCTTCCCTGTTGTTCCTCCTCAAGCTGATGCCACTTAGCAACGGACGTTGTAGTCGTCAGCATGGCGTTCCAGTGATCTACCGCTTCGTCGTTTGACGTCGATCCGATCACTACCTTCCCAATCAACCGTTTCTTTCCTCTTTCAGAGAAATGTTTCATTTGTAAAAGAACTGCTATTTTGTGTAGAATGCGATGGGGGATAGCGAAACTGAAAGCTTCATTCCATACGGGAGAGACATTGTGCTTTTTCACCACCGTGCTTCGTTTCTTCAACTTTTTCTCGCCCATTTTTATATACAATTTCACCAATGGATCTAAAACGTGAATTGAAAAGATAAGCGGATTAACCGTGCACATTTTGGATACTTATGATTCCTGCTACTCTTGAAGTATTTTGGCTTTGTCATCATATGGCGACGATTGTGATTATGCCTATAGGAAAATATGTCTTACAAGGAGGATTTACGGCCCAGATCCTTTTCTGCATAAGTTGATAGGGTAATAACGATTTCGCTTTTAAGAACTCGAGAATGTAACTCACCTGGTGGCTTGTTCTTACTAATTGGCTTTAAACTCCTTGCTTTCATCACAATAACTGTAAGTTTTTCAGACGACTTAAGGTATGCCAGTGATACCAGCAGTGCAGGTCCAGGAACGTCTGTCTCCACGTCACGAGAGAATGTAACCGAGGGACGAGGTTGAGAGACTGGTTGAACTGCCTGTTCCTCTACCTATGAAGAAGTTTGTGGAAGGAAACTATCAGTGAGTGGGATTCCTAATGCTTTAATCGACGGTTAACGACTTAAATATTGAACGAAAAACGTACTTAATAGCTTGCGTTGTCAGTTGCCTAACAATTACGTAGCTATGACAAATAACTTTATTAGCGTTGTTATAAGTGCATTCGCTCAGTCATAGGTTATAGCTGCTTTCGATAAACGACCTCTCGTCTTTTTCAAATCATCAAAGACAGTTGCGAAGTTTTACGTGAGAGAAAGAAATTTTAGAACAGAATAAACATTCAGGAACTTCATTCTATATGCTATGCCTTCAGTCGCGTGCGAGCGTATTTAAAGTTCCCGGTGTGATTTTCTAAGATTTCCCGATTTCTAACTAGAAAGATGCCTTTATTCTTGTCGCTTTCGAATGAAAAAAGTGATTGCTGTGGAAATATTGTAACAGTTTCAGTTTCATTTTGGAGTAGTTTTGGCGCCCGTAACCCTAATTGAGCAACCTAAATCAGCCTTGCCTCTTTCTGTTGTCTACACATTTTAGCGCACTGTTTCCCAAGAACTGGTAACTGTAATCGATGTTTGGTACTGCGTGATTGCTTGGGTGTATATAAGGTCTAACTAACCTTCGGCTTCTTTGTCAAAGCAAGACCTGTTGAATAACCATCTATTTCAAATGAGATTAAGTTGCACTCAGGCCTGAGTTGCACTTGACTGAAAACTAATTTTCGAACTCATGCTGTTAATAAAGCCTAATGTTTGCGTTCTACTCCCTCGCCGACGCAACACCACAGTTTCTTTTAGAAACTAAACCTTTGTTGATTTTCAATGTTGTCTACCCTTGAAATAGAAAAAAAACGCCTTTTCCAAATATTTCTCTCAGGAACGTTACTGGTATTTCACAAGATCAAACGTACAAAAGTCTTGGGCAGAACGGTAGTAGGACCAGTAGTGAATAAATGAACTTAAGCCTAGAAATATCGGGGAGCAAGGGAGGGCGCAGAAGTGAGAGCGCTTGCCTCCCACCAAAGTGG